CTACTTTATATGGGATGCCACCGCAGCATGGCTTAACAAGCGGTGCATTGGTGCACGCCCGGGATCCGAACCTGCAAACCCCGGGCCACCACAGCGGAGTGCACGCACTTAACCGCTTGTGCCACCAGGCCAGCCCCGCCATTTTAATCATTTTTAAGTGTACAATTCAGTGGCATTAATTATGTTATCAGTATTGAGCAACCAGCACCACTATCTGTTTCCAGAACTTTTTCAACCCCCAACAGAAGCTCTGTAACCATTAAGCAGTAACTCCCCATTCTCTCTTCCTTCCAGTCCCTAGTAACTTCTAATCTACTTTCTGTCTCTAGGAATTTGCCTGTTCTAGGCACGTCATATAAGTGGAATCACACAGTATTTGTCCTTTTGTGTGTTACTTATTTTACTTATCATAATGTCTTCGAGGTTCATCCTTGCTGTAGCGTATATCAGAACTTCATTTCTTTTTATGACTGACTAATATTCCATTGTAGGTATATACCACATTTTGCTTATGCATTCATCTGTTGATATAACTTGGGTTGTTTCCACCTGTTGGCTATTGAGAATAGCTGCAATGAGCACTGACATAACAAGTATCTCTTTGAGTCCCTGTTTTCAATTTTTTGGGGTATATACTTAGAGGTGATAATTCTATGTTTAGTTTTTTGAGGACCCACCAAATGTTATCCACAGCAGCGGCACCATCTTACATTCCTACCAGCTTTGTACCAGAGTTCCAATTCTCCACTTCCTTGCCAACACTTGTTAAATTTTTAAAATTATACTCATCCTAGTAAGAATGAAGTGGTATCTCCTTGTGATTTTGATTTGCATTTCCCTCTAATGACTAATGATGTTGAGCATCTTTTCATGTGTGGATTGGCCATCATCTTCTTTGGGGAAATGTCTATTCAAGTCTTTTGCCCATTTTTTAATTGTCTTTTGTTGTTAAATTTTAGGAACTCTTTATATATTCTGGATATTAAACCCTTACTAGATATGTGACTTACAAATTTTTTTTCTCATTTTTGTAGGTTGTCTTTTCACTTTCCTAATAATGTCCTTTGATGAAAAAAAGGTTTTAATTTTGACGAAGTCCAATTTATCTATTTTTTCTTTTGTTGCTTATGCTTTTGGTGTCATATCTAAGAATCCATTACCAAATCCAAGATCATGAAGATTTACCCTTACGTGTTCTTTCAAGAGTTTTATGGTTTTAGCTCTTATATTTATGTCATTGATCCATTTTGAGTTAATTTTTTAAAATGGTATGAAGCAGGGAGCCAACTTCATTCTTTTGCTTGTGGAAATTTGGTTTTCCCAGCACCTTCTTCTCACTTTTAATTTAGATCAAATGTTTGGGGGAAATTTGCAACTTTCCAAAATTATTCATGATATTGGAAATATTGAATATTTTACTTTATGAAAATATTTGATTAATTGGATTTTTCAAACTAAATCCCTACGTAGTTAACTTCTACTTCTTAAGAGAAAGGAGAAAGTCATAGCAGAAGTACATAGAAAATCTTTAAAAACTGGGAGTAATTCTTGGTGACTTAAGAAAAGGGATAAATTAAAGATCCTTATTAAAAATAAGGAAACAATCCAAATTATTGTTAAGAGATAAAAATGTTGAGCTAATGACTTCACTGCTTTCAAATGCTTAAAGGGCTTTTATATGGAGATTCCTAACTATTACCCGCCCTCACAGGAACACAGCTAGAAAAATATATATATTTAGCTTGCAATTGAAGAGCTTTCACTTTGACACCAAGAAAAGGTTTTTAATGGAAAAATAAGAAAATAATAATGATAATGCTTATTGAGCATCTACCACGTGTCAGCCTCTGATTTGAGCCCCACGAGGTAGGTACTGTTGTCATCATAGATGATCTTGAACCCAAGGAGTCCAACACTGTGCTGAGGCTTGTATCCACTGTGCTAAACCACCTTTGTTAAGAGTGAGCTAACATTTGAACACCCCTCCCTCCTATGCCTTTCCATCAGTACAGAGATTTATTAGTCCAATGAAATTCATAATCGTGACACATTTGGTGGCATCAGTCTTCTGATTCTATTCAAACATCAATCGCTTTCTTATTGCTTTTCTTTCAGCAAAACAGTCTGGATACACTCTTACCTACCTCTCTTCTCTAAAATGCCCAACAGGGTACTTTCAAACGTTTTGTAACATTATATAAAAATCCTCTTGAGTAATATAGACAAATGCCCAATGACACACATCATAGAGAAACATAATACCTTTTTTCTCCTTTTTAATCTTTGGGGCTTTGTTTTAATAATTCATGGAGTCACTAACCTTTCAGGTGGATTTGAGAATCCTTTTTATTTAATACAATTTTGTTGGTGTTCTGAAAACCAAGGACATTGAAGTATTTATTCCCTGCTGAATAGGGCATTGTGTACATGTATCTTTGTTTTCTCTGAAAACACCTCTTAACCTTCAGACATCTCCTCGGGGCTCTAGCACGTGGGCTTGCGACATATTGTTCCCTCTGTAAGAGAGAATGTGATGTGTTACAGCAGGTGTGCTGTTATAATAATATCCCAATTTTCTTAACCCACTGGTTCCCATCACACTGTCATTTCCATGACACTCTTTTGGCTGAGTCTATGGAGAAAGGAAGACATAATTATTTTTCTTTTGTAATAGGAAACAAGACCTGAAATGGCAAGGTCTTCACTCAAGAAATTGCAAAATATCTGAGTGGCAGACATGGAGCTCCAGCACACATCTTCTGATTATAGTAGAAAGTTAAGAGCGGTGGTTTTCAACTAGAGATTTTGCCTCATCTCCCCAGGGTACATTTGGAAATGTCTGGAGACATTTTTGGTTGTCACAAATCGGGGTGGGAGGTGATGTTACTGGCATCTAGCTGGTAGAGGCCAGGGATGCTGCTAAACATCCTACAATGCACAGGACAGCTGCTGCAACAAAGCATTATCCAGCCCACAACGTCCATGGTGCCACTGTTGAGAAACTCTGTCTTAGAGTAATGGAAATCAGACTTGAACCTGGCTCTGCATCTTACTTTAAGAGTTTAGGAAAGTGGCTTCATTTTTCAGAGATTGCTTTCTCATCTGAAAGAACAAAACAACCACCACCATAAACAAACAAACAAAAACCCACTTTCCAGGGTGACTGTAAGAGACCAACTCAAAAGCACTGAATGGAGGGTGCTGAGCATATGATGAGCCCAACAAACAAAAATGAGGGCCCAGCCCATGGAGTTCAATTATAACACAAGATGGAAGCAGAGAGTGCCAGAAAGACAATGTTATTGAAGTGAAAAAGAAGGTCCCCTAGCTTCTTATCAGCTTTTATGGGCAAAAGAGCAAAAGAGATAGAGAGAGGTGCAAGAGAATTAAGCAGCATTGAGGATATACTAGGAGGGAAGGGGCAGAGATAACGAAACTGTGAATAGAAAGCAGTGGGAGAACTGTAATATATGAGGGATATTTCAGCAGTGACTTGGAGATGAATTTGAGAGATATTTAGGAGGAATTAGAAGAACTTGGTGAGCAATTAAAAAAAAGGTCATGGGAGAGGAGTCCAGGATGAATATGAGGTTTCTGACTTGGGTGGTTGGGTGTTGGTGATGCCATTCAACAAGATAAGGAAATCAAAGGGCAGGGCAGATAATAAATTCAAGTGTAGACATATCAAGCTGGAGACGCCTGTGAGATATTTAGATGATAATCAGGAGGCAGTGAGATATGGAAGTCTGGGGAAGAGCCAAAGATTTGAGAGTCAAGAACCTGAAAGCAGTACCTGACTCCGTGGGAATGAATGACATTTTTCAGGGAGAGCATGTGGAGGGAGAAAAGAGCAGAGGACAGAGCTTTTAAGATCTGGACAAAGAAAACTAAGACGGCACAATGAAGAGGTCAGAACCACAGAAAGAGAAGGTAGAGTAGTGTGGATATCAAGGCTGAAAGGGTTTCAAGAACGCAAGTGCAGGCAACTGTATCAAATGTCACAGAAAAATTAAATGAGATTGAAGTGTCCAGATTTGGTAGTTGAGTGGTCTTGCTAACTTTAGCATGAAAAATTAAGTGCAATGGTGAGCAGAAAAACCAGACTCAGAAAGTTGAAGAGTAAATAATAGCTGAGGAAGCAGAAATAAGAGATTAAGGAAGATAGAGAGGTTGTCAGAAAGATAAGCTATGAAGATTTCCCCCACTAGAAATGAACAACACTTAAGCACATTTATATGCTAAGAAGAAAGGGACAGTGGAGGTTGAAGATACAGAGTATAGAACGGAAAATGGATAGATCAAGAATGGGATGTAGAGCTGGAATGATCACTTTGAAGCAAGAGGAGACCGATCTCTCCCTCCAAACTGGGTAAAGAAAGTAATTTGGGCATGGATGAGGGATGGGTGTCTGGAGGGATGAGAGATCATGAGTTTGAGGAAGTTCAAGTTCTCTCATATTGGAGAGCCTCTCTTTTCACTTCCAACTGTAGGCAAGCTCTGCTGCTGGTATGGGATATGGGACATATCAGGAGGTAGGGGCAGGGAATAACCTTTAAGGATTGGGGAGGGGCATTGACAAACTAGAGAAAATGAGTAGAGACTACAATTTAAGAAGCTGGCATGTGAAGGATATCTCATTGTACCAAGGTCACCTTGGGATTCATGTTTAATTCATTCTAGATCAGCAACAGAAGCAATTCATCCTTAGAGAGAAGCAGTAACTAGAAGGATTTGTTTGAAAATGGGGTAGTGTGTGTGGGATGACCAACTAAATTCCAAATTAAAGTGGGCATGGGATCAATTAGGTCTCTGGACCAGTTGTGTCATTTCCTTGTATGAAAGTGAGTGTATCCTATGGGATTCTTAGCCCTCCACATCCAGAGTTGTAATAATGCAAAAATTTGAGTTTATCTTCCATAATTCCATAATCAAGTAAGACAGTAGAAATGGTCAATGGACTAGAAATAAATGAATCATGAGGAAATTGTTTTCTTTTGCAGAATCTTGCCTTCTTTTGAGCCTAAGTCATGAGTTGGATGTTCCTCAGAGCCCTCTTAAGTGGAGTAAATAAATACTCCACTGGGATTGGGCGGATTTGGCTGGCTGTTGTGTTCATCTTCCGGTTGCTGGTCTACATGGTGGCAGCAGAGCATGTGTGGAAAGATGAGCAGAAAGAGTTTGAGTGCAACATTAGACAGCCTGGTTGTGAAAATGTGTGTTTTGACTACTTCTTCCCCATCTCCCAGATCAGACTTTTGGCCTTACAACTGATCATGGTCTCTACGCCTTCACTTCTGGTGGTTCTACATGTAGCCTATCGCGAGGGTAGAGAGAAAAGGCACAGAAAGAAACTCTATGTCAGCCCAGGTACAATGGATGGGGGCCTGTGGTACACTTACCTTATCAGCCTCATTGTTAAAACTGGTTTTGAAATTGGCTTCCTGGTTTTATTTTACAAGCTGTATGACGGCTTTAGTGTTCCCTATCTTATGAAGTGTGATTTGAAGCCTTGTCCCAACACTGTGGATTGCTTCATCTCCAAACCCACAGAGAAAACTATCTTCATCCTCTCCTTGGTCACGACCTCGTGCCTGTGCATTGTATTGAACGTCATTGAACTGAGCTTTTTGGTTCTCAAGTGTTTTATTAAGTGCTGTCTCCAAAAATACCCTAAAAGACTCAAGTGCTCGGTGTGTGAGTGCCACAACCTCAGATACATTGAATGTGGTGAGACAGGGGCCCCTCCCCTAGCCCAGAATCACCATTCAGACTCGGCCCTAAGCACATCCCAGCGAGGTGAAACAGAGCTACTTTGCAACACACAAGAGAGTTAAACAAAGAAAACCTACATCCCTCCTAAGCAAGACCTAGGCTGGGTTTAAACAAAGGGTGTCAGCCTTAATGTCACCTCGGAGGAATTTTTAAATTTTTCAATATGCGCTCGTTTGTGTCCACTAGACAGAGGTCTCATTGTTCTGTTGTAGGGTTTGTGTGGGTACATGGGTTGTGTTTAAATAGTTAATTGCAAATTAGTCTGAAGAAATCCAACTAACAGCATGAGACCTGTCAACTGGAAAATATAAAAAGTGACACTTCTGACAAAGGTAATGGCCTCTAAGCTGCCACTGGGGCACTGGCAATCTCTCCAAAGTGGCAGCCAAGGCTCCACTCACTCAG